TTCCGTTTCTTGGCTTTTTGAGACAGGGTCTCTCTGTAGCCCCAGCTGTCCTGGAACTCACTATGTAGACCGGGCTGACCTTGAACTCACAGAGATCCACCTGTCTCTGCCTCCCGAGTGCTGGGACTAAAGGCGTGTGCCATCACACACAATGGATTTTTCTTTCTTATTTAGTCTGACACTTCTGTTTCTTTAATGAGAGTGTTTAGTCCATTTATTTTAATATAATTGTTGGTATGGTTTAATTTAGGTACATTTACTCTTTAATTGTGTGCTCCCTCTGTTTTCGTATCTCCATTCTTGCTTTATTTATTCATTTGAAAAATCAATTTTAAGTTTTCTATTGGCTCATTGGCTCTACCTCTTCTTATTATGTTTTTAGTGGTTGCCCTAGGGATTATGTACATTCTAAACTTTTTATAGCCTAAATTTAGAAGTCTATAATTTCTTAGTTATTGTACAATTTCTTTTACTGTGTAACATTCTTTTTAAATTAAAAAAATTTTTATTATTTTTATTTTATGTGTATGAGTGTATTGCCTGCATGTATGTGAGTGCACCTGTGTCATGCAATGCCGTGGAACTCAGAAGGCGGCTTCGGATTCCCCTGGAACTGGAGTTAAGGACAGTTCATAGCCGTCATGTGGGTGCTGGGAATAGAACCCGGGTCCTCTGCAAGAGCAGTCAGTGCTCTTAACTTCTGAGCTCTCTCTCCAGACCCTCTTTTTAAATTTTTAAAATTTATTTTTATGTGTATCAGTGTTTTGCCTGCATGTATGTAAGTGCACCCTGTGCATGCAGTGCCCATGGAGACCAGAAGAGGGCATCAGATTCCCTCTAGACCTGGAGTCACAGATGGTTGCTAGCCATCATGTGGGTGCTGGGAACTGAACCCAGGTCCTCTGCATGAATAGCCAGTGCTCTTAACTGCTGAGCCATCTCTCTGGTCCCCATGTAACATTCTTGCAATCAAATAATTCATTTACCACATGTTCTTTAGGTTCATTATTTATATAAATATGTGTGTCATTTGTTTATATTTTTTGCTCCAGCCATATATTTTATTTTATTTTTTTGATTTATTTTTATTTTAAGTGTATGTGTGTTTTGCCTGCATGTATATAAGTGCACCCATGTCATGCAGAGCTCTTGGAGGTCAGAAGAGGGCATTAAATCCCCTGGAAGTTGAGGTAAAGGTGGTTGTTAGCTGTCATGTGGGTGCTGGGAATTCAACCCAGTTCCTCTGCAAGAGCAGCCAGTGCTCTTAAGCCATCTCTCCAGCTCCATCCAGCCATGTATTTTAAAGAATTTTTTTCTCTCTCTCTTTTTGAGACAGGGTCTCCCTGTAGCCCCAGCTGACTTGGAACTTGCTATGTAGACCAGGTTGGCCTAGAGCTCATAGAGATCTGGCTACCTCTGCCTCCCAAGTCCTGGGATTAAAGGAGTGCACCACCATGCCCGGCCTATTTTAAAGAATTTTTAAAAATTTATTTCTTTTTATTTCTGTGTGCTTGTGTGAATATGTGCATGCATGTACAGGTGCCTATAGAGGTCAGAAGTGGGTGTCAGAGCCCCAGAAGTGGGAGTTACAGGCAGTTGTGAGTGGCTCAACATGGGTGCTGGGACTGAACTCTGGTTCTCTGAAAAAACAGCAAGTACTCTGAACCACGGAAGCATTTTCCAGTCCCTATTTTAAAGAACTTAAGTTTTAGCTTTTCATATGTATCTAGATGCTTACCATTTTTAGTTCTTCCTATAAATTTTAGCTTCCACTGAGCTAATGTCTTTATTTCCTCCGAACTCCCTTCAACTTATCTTATGGCATAGTAACAAATTTGCTTAGTTTTCTTTGATCTCTAAATGTGTTTATTTTGCCTTTGTTTTTTTAAAAAAAATTATTTCATTGATCTCTAACTTAGGCATCTTATAATTCACTCATTCTAGGTGGGTAATGAAATGGTTTGGGGTTGTGTGTATGTATGTTGAATATTTAGTGTGTTTAGTATGTTTCTGCATGTGTCTATGTCCATGTGGAGGCCAACACAAAATATCAAGTATCTTTTTTTAAAAATTATTTATTTAATAACCACATGATTAGAAGAAGCAGTTCATTACAACAGCATTGACATATTCAATAAAAATTTCCAGAGCAAAGATACATCCCTTTCAAAAGTGGCTATAAATTTTTAGGTTCACAGGTGAATTAATACAGTTATACAATATTGAACTCAGTATAAACCCTATAAGACATAAAATTGAATGAGGTTTTAACCTTTAAAAAAGATTTCCATTTCCTTTTAAAATATAGTTTCCTACAGAAAACCTCATTTTTAATGCTACTAACCAAGTATCTTTTTATTGCTCGCTCCCTTACTTGTCTTGAGGCTGGGTTTTTCATGAACTAGTCACTTCCTGTTTTGTCTAGTTTGGCTGGGTAGCCAGTGACATGTCTCACTCTCCGATGCTGGGGTTTCAGGCACACACAGTCATACCCTGCTTTTTATGTGGGTGCTGGGGATTCGAATTTAGGTCTTTATGCTTGTAGATCAAGTGCTCTTACCTACTGAACCATCTTTCCAGCCCCTTTAAATGATTTTTAAAATTTGTGTCTATTATTTTTATTTTTATATAATTTTTACTGAGCTTTTGTAATTTTATACAATAGTTCTTAATCAAATTTAGACACCCTCCCCCATCCATGCCTCCACCATACTGGACCTCTTGTATTCTACTATGCATGTTAAGTCCTTTCCATTCAGGCATTTATATCCAAATGTCCTTCAGTGTAAATTCATCCACTGGAGTTTAATAAAGAGATCTTATTATTATTATTATTATTGTTTATTATTTTTTGGTCTTTTTGAGACAGGGTCTCCCTATATCCCCAGCTGTTCTGGAACTCACTTTGTAGACCAGGCTGGCCTTGAACTCACAGAGATCCACCTGCCTCTGCCTCCCGAGTGCTGGGATTAAAGGTGTGCGCTACCACGCCTGGCTTATCATATTACTTTTATTTTATGTGTATGAGTGTATCGTCTGAATGTGTGTAAGTGCACCTGTGTTGTGCAATGCCTGTAGAGGTCAGAGGAGGGCATTGGGTTCCCCTAAAACTGGAGTTATAGGCAATTGTTAGCCACCATGTAAGTGCTGGGAATTGAACCCAGGTCCTCTGCAAGAGCAGCCAGTGCTTTTAACTGCTGAGCCATCTCTCCAGCCCCTATTTTGTATTATTTTAAATTATGTATTTGTGTATGTCTGTATGTGGGTTTGTGCATGTGAGTGCAGTTCCCATGGAGGCCAGAAGAGGGTATCACATCCTCTGGAACTGAAGTTACAGGCAGTTGTGAGCTGCCTGACATGGGTGCTGGGAAACCAGCTTGGGTCCTCTGCAAGAACAGTATGTGCTCTTAACTGCTGAGCCCTCTCTCTTGGTCCCCATTCAATGATTTTTAATGAATTTACAGATTTCTTTGAAGGCGAACAGAATTCACTCATTTTAATGAATTTGCAAAGAGGCTACATGGCCCACAAAGTCAAAATTTCTTGGTATGGCCTTACTCAGGAAACATACCCTGATCCATGCTTGGCCATCAGGAGTGATGGCCCATTTTCCAAATACTAAGTGTGCTAAATAGTTGTGCAGTGGCTCCCAGGAGCCACTCTCTCAGATGACCTGATTTTGAACTCGAGCAGCTCAAGGAATCTTTCCACAGGTGAATGGTGCTCAGTGTATTCTTGGAAGCTGCTGGTTATAGCATTGAGCCTGACTTTTTAAGGGGACTAGAGCTATCTGTGATGGCCGTCCTTATAAAAATCTGCAAAGAAGATATTGTCTATATAGTTCAGACTGTTCCAGGCTACAGAGACCTGCCCTAAATCTGCAGAACATGATTTGAAAAAATTACCTGAAATGAGAAAAACCACAAAAAGAATTATTTTGCAAGATTAAGTGATGCAAATTGATAGTATATTGGAAACCTTTTCCTTAGTCAGACAAATTTCACCTTATTTTCTTGGTTGTGTAAAATGAGACGTGCTAATTTTAAAGTCACTGGATCAATAAAAGCTAATGCCATCTAGACAGCTTCTGGTTGCATAGTTTAAAAATACAGATACCTGGCTGGGTAAAGTGGTATACCCTGTTAATACCAGCACTCAGGAGGCAGAAACAGGCAGATCTCTGTGAGATCCAGGTCAGCCTGGTCTACATAGTGAGCTCCAGGCCAGCTGGAGCTACAGGAGACCGTGTCTAAAACTAAAACAAAAATAAAACAAAAGAATACAAATATTTTATTTATTTTTAAAAAATTCATATTTAATCTACAAAGTAGTGAATTTCCTTATGCCATTTTCATACATAGAGGATATAGATATTTTTATCTAACCCAGTAAGTGCTTTTATTTTGACCTGATAAGACCTTACAGAATTTTCAGGCAAATTCAAAAGTAATCATTTCAGAAAGGAAATGTGGGACTAGCTTTCTGTGTTCAGGGGAAAGAGAGGAATGAAGGGAAATATTGCCTCTGTTTTTCTTCTGAAAATTTTGATTTTACTCTTAAGTACATAGAGATTTTATTTAGTTGTACAAATATTATAGATGAAATAGAGTAGAGCTTCTTGAAATTTTTCCACTCATTTTATACCACCCTTCCTGGGCACATAGGTACATAAAATAGGTATGGAAACCAAACATTTACTGATAATAAAATATAAAGAAATTTCTTTTAGAGCATTAAATTTAGGTGAAATGACTTTATTGCCAACTCTTCCCAAGAGGTTATTTATAAATATTTGCTTGGAGTGAGCTTAGAAAGGAGGAAAATCTAGGAAGACACAGTGAGAACAAAGACATAAAGGGGCGGTGAGTGTTCGGGGACCATGCCACCAGGGTTGATATGACCCAGGTGATGTGAGATGTGGTGGAAGGCTGAGGAGGTAAGAGGTGCATCAGGATGGTGTTGGGGGTTTGCTGAAGGACATATGTGGAGAGGCAAGGTGGCACTATTGAGTGTTGATGTATGGGTAGGGCTAGTGACCAACAATCCATGAATCTATGCAGAAGGTGTTAGTTACAATACCAAAGACCAGAAGACCACGTGGTCAAATGGCAGTCCTTTTTGTAACTACCCCTGCATAGCGGAAACTTTTAAATAGTTCGAATTTCCCCCGTGTAACTTATTCTAGATTCATCCAAATCTTTCTTTTTCTTGTGTCTTTTTTCCTACAGCTTTTAAGATAATTATATTCCTCCTCTGCAAATAGCAAAATATTTAGAGTTAAGAAGTTTGCCCATTAAGAAAATTTCTTTAACAAATCAGTCTTGGCTTTCTGAGGCATGTAGAAGTGTGAAGACATCGGCTGGGAGAGCACTGACGAAGGATCTGTCCTTATTTCAGATTGGTGCGTGGAAAGCCCAGCTGGATGGCACCTTGCCCTCACCACTCAAGGAAACTGAAGTGTGGCTCCAGGAGGTAGAAGGGCTTATGGAGGAAGATCTGCCAGCCTCCCAGGATTACTCTGAAGCCATGACTTTGACTCAAGAGAAAATGTCTTTATTCAAGGTGGGAGAAGAGACATGGAAAAGTCAACCCTGTGTTAGGGTCTGTCTTGGAGGAAGATTTTGTTCTTGAGAGAAGAGAAGTGAATGGAGTGGTGGCTGAGGGTTGGGCCATGTGATTCCCTTGGGATTTTGGATACAGCGATACTTCCGTGAGTGCTGGACACCTGTCGTCCCTGCACTCGGAGGTGGAGGCAGAAGGATCTGGAGTTCAAGATCATCCTTGACCATATAACGTGTTTTAGGCTGGCCTTGGGTACTGGAGATCCTGTCTCAAAAGCCAAACAAAAGGGGCTGGAGAGGTGGCTCAGCAATTAAGAGCACTGACTGCTCTTGCAGAAGACCCGGGTTTGATTCCCAGCACCCACATGGCAGCTACGAACCATCCTTAACTCCAGTTCAGGGAAATCTAAAGCCCTTTTCTGACCTCTGTGGCATTGCATGACACGGGTGCACTCACATACATGCAGGCAACACACTCATACACATAAAATAAAAATAATAAAATATTTTTAAAAAACCAAACAAAAGCAAAAACCCAAACAAAAGAAAGACACTTTTACATTCACGACTGCCGTGCTATTTAAGATGGAAATGATAAGGTGGAAGCCAGTTATTTCTAAAGCAAATGTGAATTCTAAACAAACCCAACCCAGAACCAAACAAAAAACAGAAAAAAAAGATGCCGAGGGTAGAGGAAACTGGTTTAAAATGAGGGAGATTGGGTTCTCACGGCAGCTGTGTGAGAGAATTTGAAGTGTGAGAGTTGCAGCAGTTGAGCCCCTAGAGGAATGGAGAGTTGGAGAAAACAAAAGATTTTGGTAATGACTGTGCTAAAGACACTGCATGCTGCTGCTTCGGACAGTGTTGCTTTAAAGCCTTTATGTTGCAGCTGGAGAGCTGGCTCAGTGGTTAAGAACAGTGGCTGCTCTTGCAGAGGACCCGGGTTCAGTTCCCAGCAGCTACATGTCAGCTAACAATCATCTGTAACTCCAATTCCAGAGGGTTCACCGTCCTGCCTTTCACAGGCATTGCACCACATGGGTGCACTTACATACATGCAGGCAATACACTTATATCCTTAAGGTAAAAATAATAAAATAATTAAAACCTTTATGTTGAAATACTAGTTCATAAAAATCTTAGTTACAAAGGAAGAGATGAGAACAGGCGGTTGACCCATGCTTATGGTCCCCCATACTTCGGAGGCTGAGGCAGGCAAGTCTTTGGTACATAGTGAGTTCCAGGCCAGTCAGGGCTACAATGTAAGATCCTAGCCAAGTCAGTTGATCAAGATTTGTGGCCCTTTTGAAAACAAACATATTGAGTTGATGGACATTTGTCCTACTGTATCATTTGGTGATAAATCTGACTTTTGTCTTGTTATATTCCTTTCAGAATCTGATGGACAGTTCCGACTATCATTCATATATGCTCATGACCTTTGAAAATAGAGATGAAAACCACCAGCCAGTGGTGCCACCTGACAAACTGGAGGAAATGAAAAGACGGTTTGTAACAGTACCTTTGCACAACCACTGTGCTGTCCTAGTAGCTCTCTATTGCTGTGATTAAAACACTGACAAAAACCAACTTGGGGAAGAAAGGGTTTACTTTTTCTTAAACCTCCCGGGTCACAGTTCATCACCAAGGGAAGCCAAAGCAGGAACGCAGGGCAGGAACCTGGGGGTAGGAAATGGAGTGTAGACCATGGAGGAACACTGCTCTCCTGTATAACGCAGGACCACCTACCTAGAAGGTGGCACCACCCTCAGTGGGCTGGGCCCTCCAAATCACTGAACAGGAAAATGCCTCACAGACATGTCTGCAGGCCAAACCAATAGAAGCAGTTCCCCAATTGAGGTTCTCTCTTCCCAAGTGTGTCAAGTTGACAACTAAGCCTGTCCAACGCAGTGCTCATGTTGAGCAACCAAGCACGGAGACCGTAAAGATACAGACTTTAAGACAACTTCTGGCATTTCTGCTTCTACATCATTATAACCTTTCATGTTTTCTGTAAGAGTGACGTCATTTTCATATCCTGTTTTATTGAGATAGAGTCCTGTGATGTGAGATCTGGCTTTTCCAGCGTGTTTTCTTACCTGTAAACATGTTTCACAAGGATACCAGATCAAGGGGAGGAGGTATATAAGCACACTTTATAAGTGGTAAAATAGGTAGTGAAGAGATAGCTCACTAGTTAGGAGCCTTAGCTGTGCAACTGTGAGGGCTAGAGTTTGAATCTCTTTACCTATATAAGAAGCCTGGGGCCTACAAGTGCCTGAAACCCCAGATCCAAGAGTTCTGACGCCCTTTTCTGGCCTCTGTGTGCATAGACATGTGTACTGGCACACTTATGTTGCATGTACACTCACACAGACACAGATGAATAAATAATAAACTTCAAAATATCAATATAGAGACTGGGGGATGGCTCAGTGGTTAAGAATGTGGACTGCTCTTGCAGAAGACCCAGGTTTGGTTCTCATCATTCATGGCGGATAGCTTACAACCAACTGGATCTCTGGCTCCAGGAGATCTGACACCCTCTTCTGGCTTCCACAGGCACCTACACTCACACGAACAAGCAAGCATATAATACATATACATAACTAAATAATACATATTTTTAAGATTTTATTATCAGTATAGAGATTGTTTAACTGATGGTTGCTTACCATCTTCTGTTTTCTCTTTACTCGTAATAGCTTATTGGAATAATAAGAGGATGCTATCCTTAAAATGAAAACTTTTAATATGTAAACTTTTAAGTTGTAACTTCATTGAACTATACAGAAGTTTTCAAGTTTTATAAACTGTTTTTAGATCAGCATGTTCTTACAGAATTTCCCAGTAAGAGAATAAATTTCTTGAAAAAATATTTTATTACCTATTTTTACCTTGGAAATGGTTGTTTTATATCTTGTCACAATGTTTGCTTTTTATTGTCTTGAAGGGGAAGGATGAGAAGGAGGGAGGAAAAAATAGGGAGAGAGGGGAACAGAGAGAGAGACCTTTGAGGATATATGTGAGTCCCATATGTTTGAATAAAAAGGTTAAAGCTCCAGTGTTTTTTATAATGCCAAACATTTCTGACACTTGGTCAATTCTAAAACCTGTTTGTTTTCCAGAATAAACAACATTTTGGGGAGAAAATTCATCCCGCTTCTTGAATTTCATTACTATAAGTGCTCAGTTCTTGGTTTGCTAGATGAAGTGAAGTCAAAGTTGGATGTTTGGAACGTCAGATACGGGAACAGAGAGTCTGTGGAAGTCTTGCTGAAGGACTGGCAAGTAAGCTGCTCAGGCTGGGCCTCGGGCACTGCTTTTCACGTCTGGGGGCTGGGTTAGTGTTCTTGCTTGGCATGATTGCCCGTGAGTTCTTCAGATTTGGAGATGGTTTTTTTTGTACCTCTCATTAGCTTCTATTTTTCTTGAGAAAAAGTTACTGTTGGTCAATAGCAGAGGGAGGGGAGAACAGCTTTCAAGATGGCTTTAACAGGACGACTCGCCCACAGACAGGGTTTGATGCCTTTTGCCTGCTAAACATCGCTTCTTTCTCCCTTAGATGCCTCCTCTTTTTTCTTCTCCAGTTCATGCTTTCACTCAGAAACCTACTTTTCCTTTGAAAACATTGATCTTAGTCTCTCCTTTAATTTTTTTATTTCTTTTAAAAAATTTTTAGATTTAGCCAGGTATGGTGGCGCACGCCTTTAATCCCAGCACTTGGGAGGCAGAGGCAGGAGGATCTCTGTGAGTTCAAGGCCAGCCTGGTCTACATAGTGAGTTCCAGGACAGCTGGGGCTACAGGGAGACCCTGTCTCAAGACCAAAAAAAAAAAAAATTAGATTTATTTTAATTTTATGTGTATTTTTTTTGCCTGCATGTGTGTATGTATAGGACATACATGCAGTGCCTGCAGAAGCCAGAAGAAGGCTTTGAATCTCCTTGAACTGGCACTGCAGATGGTTATGAGTTGCCATGATTTCTGGGAACTGAACCCTGGTCCTGTGCAAGAGCAGCAAGAGCTCTTAATGGCCAAGCCATCCTTCCAGCCCCAAGTACTTTTATCTTTGAGTTACTTCTTCAGTTTGGTTTCAATGGAAAGGTGAAGCCTTTATTTTGTTACTCAAGCTTTGTAAAAGTGATTCTTTGAACTCCTTTAACACGTTAGAACACAGAAGCTACTAAAATTTTCACTCATTCTTTTTTAAAAAAAATTTTTTATTGAGTTTTTGTGCATTTCTTTTAAAAACATTTTTAATTGAATTTTTGTGTATTTCATATGGAACATCTCAGTCAATCATCTTTATACCTCTTTCCCCACTGGCACCCTCCCATCCCCTCCACTGGAATCCATACATTCTGTTATTTGTGTTAAGGCCTATTGTGTCGTTAGTGAACCCAGAAGTCCCTCAGTACAAGTTCGTCTACTGAGGTCTACTCAGCCTATCTAGAGTCCCTTGCTTTAGGAAGATCAGCTCTTCCTCACCCAGCACTTCGTCACCCAGCTGCCGTATTCCTTCAGCTGAGATAGGGCCTGCTGCCTGTTTCTCAGTTCTGCGCTGGGTTTTGTCTTCTTCAGTTTGTACAGGTCCTGTGCATGCTGACCCATGGAGCTTGTAGAATTCTATTTCCATATGATCATGCACCTCCTCCCTGTCTCTTACAATCTTTCCACCCCCTCTTCCAAAATGGTCCCTGAGCCCTGGGTGGGTAAAGTTTAATACAGGAGTCCTGTCCAAGGACTAGCATTCTGCAGACTCTTAACTACTACACTTTGGCCATTTGTGACCTTTTGTGTTCCTGGCCCCCTGTTGAGTGAGGGACTTCATTAATGAGAATTTAGATATTCATCAGTGTCTTCTTTACTCCTTGTTCTATGCTCCATGAGCCTTAGGTGTAAAGGTTGCCATGTAGATGTGCCACTTAAGCTTGGACAATTCACAGACAATATCTGTGTGCGACCAGTTGTGTTACTCGGTAATAGTCTCTGTCTGCTGCAAAAGAAGTTTCCTTAAGTGGTGACTGGGATATTTGTCTGCAAATATAAGGACCCATATTTTTCACATAGTAAGAAATTAAATTTGTCTAGGGATGTGACTGTCTTGGGATTTTCTCTAAGATCTATGACCTCTCCAGCCATGTGTATTTGGCTATGTTTACAGTACCATACGTGTGTTTCCTCCCATTGAGTGGGCTTTAAGTCCAATTAGGTAGCTGTTGATTGCCCCTAAGATGAAAGTGTCACTGCTGCACCATTGTCATATGCTGTGCCAGTCATTGAAGTGGTTATTTGATCTTGAAGCTGGGGTTGGACATTGATTGATGTTCTCCCTTAGCAGCTTGCATAGTGCCCTCCAAAGCTATAAAGGCCAGCCCTCAGGGGAAGTGGCTTCCAGGTCAGTTCTAGCTCCATTGCTCCAAATCCTGTGTCCAAAGTATGTTGACACTTTAAAAAATGGCAGGTTATAAAATGAATCTACAAAAATCAGTAGCCTTTCTATATACCAAAAACAAGCAATTGGAGAAAGAGCACATGGAAACCTTCTAATTCAGAAGAGCCTCTAAACAAAAAAAATCTTGGAATAAACTTGACCAAAGACATTAAAGATCTTTATAATGAAAATTTTGGGTCTTTAAAGAAAGATTGAGGAAGACAAGATGGAAGGACCTCCCATGCTCATGGATTGGAAGGATTAATATTATGAAAATGACCATCCTACCAAAAGCTATTTGTAGATTCAATGCCATTCCAGTCAAACTCTCCATGACATTCTTCACAGAATTAGAAAAATCCATCCTAAAATTCATATGGAAGCACAAATGACCCCAGATAGCCAAAACAACCCTGAGCACAAAGAGCAGTGCTGGGGGGATTCCAATACCGGATCTCAAACTATATTACAGAGCTATAGTCATAAAGACAGCATGGTACTGGCACAAAAATAGACTCATAGATCAATGGAACATAACTGAAGAACCAAACATGAGTATATGCAATTTCAGACACCAACTATTGACAAAAGGGCCAAGAACACTCACTGGAGGAAAGACAGCATCTTCAGCAAATGGTGCTGGAAAAACTGGGTCTCCACTTGTAGAAGAATGAAACTAGACCCTTATCTTTCACCTTGAACAAAAGTCAACTCCAAATGGATCAAAGACCTCAATGTGAAACCTGAAACTCTCAAATGCTAGAAGAAAAGATTGGCAGTAACCTACAAGATATAGGTGTAGGAAAGGACGTTCTAAATCAGACTTGCTCAGAAATTAAGGTCAAGAATCAACAAGTGGGACTTCATTAAACTAAAAAGTTTCTGCACAGTAAAAGAAACAACCAAGGAAGTGAAGAGAAAACCCACAGAGTGGAAGAAAATCTTCACCAGCAACACATCTGACAGAGATTTAACATCCAGAATATATAAAAAACTCAAAAAAGCAAGTGACTCAATTAAAAGGTGGGGTGAAGATCTGAACAGAGAGTTCTCAAAAGAAGAAATAAAAATGGCTAAGAGACATCTTAAAAGATGTTCATCATCCTTAGTAATTAGGGAAATGCAAATTGAAACCACTTAAAGATTTTATCTTACCCTAGTTAGACTGGCTAAGATCAAAAGAAAAAATGATACCAAATGCTGGTGAAGATGTGGAACACTCATTCACTGCTGGTGGGACTGCAAACAAACTCATGCAACCCTTATGGAAAGCAGTGTGGAGAACTCTTAAAAACTACAAATGAACTTATCATATGACCGGGTTACACCACTCCTTAGCATATACCCTTAAGAAACTCATCCTATTGCAGAGACACTTGAACATCCATGTTTGTTGCTGCTGTTTTCAAAATAGCTAAGAGATGGAAGCAACCTAAGTGCCCCTCAAGTCACAAGTGCATAATAAAAATTTGTTTCATTTATATGATGGAGTTCTACTCAGCAGTAAAGAAAGATAAAATCATGAAATTTGCAGGCTAATGGATAGTACTAGAAACTGTTATGCTAAGTGAAGTAACACAGACTCAGAAAAACAAATGATGTACGTTTTCCCTCATATGTGAGATCCTAGCACCAAATCTTTATATGTGAATATGTATCCTGATGTAACTTCAGTAACCAGAATAATGAAAAGGAACCAGGGAGGTAAAGGAAAAGAAGGAACCTGAGAGAAGAACAGTAGGAGGCAGGTGTTACTGAGGGAGAAATGGTAAAATGGGGTTATTTAAATTGGAGGGGAGAGGGAAGTTTATACAAGGAACTTTGGAAAGATGGATATCAAGAGAGGTGGGCCCATAGGAGACTGGTATTACCAAGGGAGAAATGGGGAAAATGGGGACACTTTAAATGGGGATGCCATGGTGGAAGGGTTAGACAGGGAGAGAGGAGAGGCTGGCTCAGTGGTTAAGAGCACTGACTGCTCTTGCAGAGGACTCGGGTTTGATTCCCAGAACCCACATGGCGGCTACGAACCATCCTTAACTCCAGTTCCAGGAGAATCCTAAGCCCTCTTCTGACCTCCACGGCATTGCACAACATCGGTGCACTCACATACATGCAGGCAATACACTCATACACATAAAATAAAAATAATAAATAAAATATTAAAAAAACCAGAGGCAATCATATTAGTCCAACAACCTAATGCCAAATTACACATACAATATCTCTACATGAGTCCATGTGTATTGCTAAATGTCACATAACAAGAAACAGTGCCAGACACAAGAAACCTTCCTTTGAGTTGTTGGCTAGGGTAGTCCAAGAGACTCCCAAAATTAAACAGCCTATTGCCACAGCCCTTGATGGCCTCCCAGAACTTGAAGGTAAGACCTTACTGATGAAGACAGAACATATTTTTTATTTCTTAAAGTCTTAAAATAAAAAAAAAATATTTATTTTGGTCTTTTTGAGACAGGGTTTCCTTATAGACCCAGCTGGCCTGGAACTCACTATGTAGACCAGACTAGCCTCCATCTCACAGAGATCTGCCTGCCTCTGTCTCCTGAATCCTGGGGTTAAAGGCATGTGCTGCCACGCCTGGCTATTGTTTTAAAAAAATTTTAAATTATATTTATTTAGTGGAGTGGGGGGCGTGCCCACCACAGCACACATTTGGAGGTCAGACAACAACTTGAAGGAATCACTTCTCTTTTTGTGGGAACTGGGAATTGAACTCAGGTGGCCAGTCTGGACAGCAAGCACCTTTACCTACTGAGCCATCCCCCCCCGGCCCCCCACCAAGGTTTAATAGGAAAAACCATACATTTTCAGTTTTGTTATGAGATGCTCTTTTTCTGGCTTAAATACTTCCTGTCTGTAGGAGAAACATGTTTTATGTGACTGAAATGTGTGTTCATTCCAGTATTGAAACTTTGAATTTATTCTTTGAATTTTTAGTTTTCTTTTTTCTGTGTTTTAATTAAAATTTTTTTTAAATGTGTATGACTGTTTTGAGTGCATGTATGTAAGTGCACTCATGTGTGCAATGCCCACAGAGGCAAGAAGAGGGTGTCGTATCCCCTGGAATTGAAGTTACAGATGGTTGCTAAGACACCATGTGGGTGTTTGGAACTGAACCCAGGTCCTCTGCAAGAGCAGCCAGTACTCTCAGCTGCTGAGTCATCTCTCCAGCTATTTATGTGAGTGTGCGTGTGTGTGTGTGTGTGTGTGTGTGTGTGTGTGTTCAAATACCTTCGTGTGTACATACAT